TTTATTATTAGAGAGTTATTATTATTTAACAAGTATATTATTATTTTTGTTGCGTGTCAGTGAAAATGAGGACACACTTACTTCTCATTGACTGTAATGGTGTGACACTAAAACCGGAAGTGTCCTATTTTATTGTTATTATTGAATAAAAATACAGTTTTTTTTCTTCTCTGGAAATATGACTACAACCTTATGTTCAACAGATTAAATCAACAACTTTACACTGTGGCCATTCAGACCAGAAGTGGTTCATCAAATAGGAAAAATCAGTATTTGTTATGAGGAGACGATACATTTTATGTCATATGTGGCACAAATTATTATATCTTATATCTTACTGAGATATAAAAGTTTTTACTAGATCGATCGATTGATAGATAGATAGATAGATAGATAGATAGATAGATAGATAGATAGATAGATAGATAGATAGATAGATAGAGGTATGTCTGTATTTTTAACACAGAAAAGAAAAATTGACAAACTTCCTCTGCTCAACCACATCCTGTCATACTGACAGAGAAAGGGAGAAGTGAAGAAAAAAAATCTGTGAATCTGCATGTAAACTGGGTCAAACAGACAGACAGGAAAATACACCCGCTGACACATTTAAACACACAGATAGGAAAGGAAACGGTCTGTGATAACCTGGAGCAGAGCTAGACGAAGTTATCTGCCACGGCGGAAATGCTCCGGTGCATTCTCTAACACTACCCTCATATGTTTGTTTAACACACACAGCGTGCGTTTCAGTGAACTTCTTCCTGTGCCTGTCGAAACTCTATCAGCTGAGTTCCCTCGCAAGCTGTGTGACATGAAGCAGTTAGGGCACATGCACAGCCTGTGAAAGAAGAGCGCATGACGAAGATAAACACAAAATGATGTGTATGAATGTTCATGATCCTCCCTTTTTAGTCCAGGATGAGCTCCTGATCATCATCACGTCTAAAGAAAAGATGAGTAAGAACATGGTGTGTCAGCACCAGTCGTTAGTACCACCAGTCGTTACTACCGCCAGTCATCCCTCTGTCTTGACAGGTAAAGGTGGAGGAATGCGTCAGAATGTTGCCTGGCCGCTAGAATTTCTAGTTATATTTAGAGGACAAACACACTGGCGTGTTTTTCTTTCACAGTGCTTCACAAAGAAACAGCCAGCGCACACAGAGACGTGATACCTTAATGAGAAGGATCTTTTCATTGGTCTGTTTTTGGAAGAGTGTGGCCTCCTCTGTCTGCACCTGAACCCTCTCCAGAGCCACAGACAGCTTACCCTGCAGGACAAACAGATAATCACATAAAAACGTTTGTTGAGAAGAGGTTATGTAAACCAGATTACGCTTCAATCAACAGTTAATTTGATTCGTGCGTCAGTCCGAACAACGTCCCGTCTTTAATGGGAGTCATACATCCGGCAATCCTCAACTGAGCGCCCTGACCCCAAAAATCTAACAAAGCTGGAATTTAGCACTGCTTAAACATGTTAAGACACACAGAGAGGCCTCTCAGAGCGGGTCGCCAAACAACGTGATGAAGGTCAGCTGCCAGGTTTGAAAGGTAGTGAAGCTCACAGAGGCCTGCTGAATTCCTGTAACGCACAAAAATACCCAAAGGCTCCTGGGGCAGACAGGGAGTGTGCTCTTTAAAGCACAACTGCTACATCTATGAAAAGCCTGCCTACCTCTCATTCTGTTCGAAAACAACTCAAAACGGACGTGATTGCCTTGTGACTTTTGGACAAAAGTCATGATGAGATAAATGAGATTTGATTAGC